GCAGGGAGTGGGGAGGGGCAATTGATCCTATCCAACCCAGGAGCTGTCCACCCTGCACCTACCGCTGGGGATGCTTGACAGAGTGGGCGGGTGGGGTCTTCGTGGAGACTGGCTGAGACCCCCGTGGACAGGGTGCACTTGGTCAGCTGGATGGGTTGGGGCTGCAGGCGAGCGGAGAGAGACGTCTGGGAGCGCGACAGGTGAGCAGGGCAGTGCCGGGGCTGGGATTGCGTGGCAGTGATAGTAAGGGCCTGGGGCCTGAAGCAGAGCAGTGATCCGCTCCCCAGTATTTTGCACACCTCTGACTTAGGCCCTTTTTAGAGTAGCTGAGGGACTGAAATTATCCTGGACAATGTTGACTTTAAAAGCAAACACTCCATATATGCAGCGCTAGGATAAATCCAATTATTAATAAAATAACAATTCTACTAAATTCCTATGATCTTATGATCCTACATGCCCTCTTACCCATGTTGAGCGTGACGGTGATGATGTTTAGAGACATGGTGGAATCTGTGATGCTGCTAAAGGAGGATGACTGGAAGAAATAGAAAGCAAATGAAAAGCCATAAATATCATATCTTTTAAAAATATATTAAAATATGGCAGTAAAAATAACGGGTAGGGAGAAATTTGTTAGGAGCAACCAACTGATCAAATTTAGACCTTCCTTCTTTTTGGGAGCCATCCAAGACCCCACTGTGATTTCTTAAAACTGGTTCATTATTTATAATTCTTGAAAAAGATACATTTCATCCATGGGCTGTATGCAAATTGCTCTGAGCATGCGCTCAGTATTAGAGATCCTCTGTCTGAGCTAACCACAGGTGTGGAGCCTGTTCCCTGACAGGATGGCTTAAAGAAAGTTCTTCTCTTGCTAAGATATTCATGTGACTGTGAGTTCTTGTGCTCATAGATATCAAACTATCTCCCTAAACAGCTTTGCAAACAAAACATGATCCCATAAACGTATGCAAGACGACAACCAGGAAACAGCACAAGCATGTTCAGGAAATATTTTTCGACTAACTCTCTCCCCAGTTTTAACAGTGAGGCAGGAAAGCAACGTGGCAGAGGCTGTCTAAAGGGAGCAGGTGGCTGTGGAAATGTAGCAAAAATTGGGGTCGCTCAGCTTCAAAGACAAAGGGCTGAAGGGAACAGTTATCATCTGAGATATGGCTTCAGATCTCCTAGGTCATTACAGACCTGATCCAAGGGAGTCTTTCTGCTGACTTCAGGGGATGTAGATCTATCCCGTAACCTCGTTCACGCACACACTGTGCTATTCAGAAAAACATGCTGCTCTATGTTCCGGTTTCATCCTTACCCTGTCAATCTGCCGCATCCTTTGTTTCCTCCTCCTGCGTTTATGTTTCCGGATCAGCCGGGATGACGTACTTTGCTCAGTAGAGCTGCTCAACCTGGGGGAAATCCAGAGTCCATTTCAACTGTGCAAATCCATGACAATTCACAACTCTCTGCATTGCCACTTAAGGCTAATTCCCAAAGGTACAGGACACTGTTTTTTAACTTGCTCCCCACCCCTGGCTGACGAACTGATGCTCACCCCGAGTATGTTAGATCTTGGCTTCTGCTGAGCAGTATGGACAAGGTAGCAGATTCATTGTGACAGGGAAGTTACAGTCTAAATTACAGCACAGATTAATGAGAATAATTTACCATCTTTCTTCTTGCCGGAAGCAAGAGTGAATTCAGCCCCCACTTCTGCAAATACAAATCATTCTGATTTAACCACCTGAAGGTTGCAGGTACCCATTATCTCCCAGTGCTTTAAAGGTGGTCCTGACCTCCTTACCCAGTGCAGAAAAATGCACACAGTATAAATAGCTTTGGGTGAAACTATGATTTTCAATCCTTGCTCATACAGTCCAATGGGTCGCCAACTGGTTAGAGTCGCACCCAGAGGGTGGTAGTGGATGGGTCCTTCTCGACCTGGAAGGACGTGGGCAGTGGGGTCCCACAGGGCTCGGTCCTTGGGCCCGCACTGTTCAACATCTTCATCAGTGATTTGGACGAGGGGGTGCAAAGCACCCTGTTCAAGTTTGCTGATGACACTAAGATGTGGGGGGATGTGGGCACAATAGAGGGGAGCAACAGGCTACAGTTGGACCTAGATAGGTTACAAGGATGGGCGGGGGAGAACAGGATGGGGTTTAACACAGACAAGTGTAAGGTGATGCACCTGGGGAGGAACAATCAGCACCACACATACAGGCTGGGGAAC